GCAGGCTGGGTTAGAGGCATGGAACTGGAGGCATAGACTATGGAGTCAACAGCAAAGCATCGAGATTACCTCTAGAAGGTGGGCGTGTACAAGACTTAGGACATGTTGGTGCCCTTCCACACTGCAGAGGCCTATGTCCTGAATGGTATCTGACCATTTAAGGGTATGTGTTTAAGTCTCCACAATCCATGTACAAAGGTGTACACAGTTCACAGCAGAACGCTAGCAATAAGTAACTAGGTGAACTAATGGGGGGGGGGATCTTTTGTTGTTGTTCCTCTTTTTACATTTTGAAATTTTAAAACAGCCAAACTTAGGTGTCCTGCTGTCCTCAGGGTCCCAAGGGAAGGGACCCTGGGCAGGTCTAGCACCAAGTCCACCCCACTATTAGCTTTACGTGGACTCGCAATGGGCAGCAAGCAGTAGTGAGACCTTAGGAACAACCTGCCTCCAGCAATAAACTTCTAAATATCTATCTCTACCTCCATCAAAATAACTATGGTGAGAATTAAGAGGAGGAGGAAATCAGCCATACAGGAGATGCCCCTCTGCTGAGTGTCCAAGGACAAAAAAACCAGGCCACTAGGGAAAGGTGTCCAGATGGTAGGAACAGAGTCATTAAGATGGGTGGCCTGATACACAGATTTCAGATCAATAATGACACAAGGGTAGGCTAATGTAACCTACATTAGAAGGTGTGCTGTTGTACTGAGTAGACAGACCCACTGATTCCCCAAACCGATTTGGCTCTTTCCACTTGCCAGATATCAGGGTGGGTTCCCTGCCTTCCACAGTACGTCATTTAGTACTTTTCAGTTGGTTGTTTTAATGCTTCTTCCCAGTATCACTATTGTAGATGTGTCTGCCTGCTTTCCAAGGCCTTCCACAGCAGCAAACATTCCTACACTGCTCTCAGTACATGCAGGGCAGGGCTTCCACCTGGGAGGGATGGAGCCAACCTGTGGCAGATGGAAATGTTTATCAAATGCAGATGCTCTTTGACATGCTGATAATCTCACACAAGTCAAAAGCTCATTTCTTCCATCTATCCTAGACAGCCTAGTGAAGCAACCAGCTCCTTACCAAGTGTTCTTAGTCATCCTCTGTATGCAGCTCTGTGGCTGTGGCTCACACCAGAGCACCACCCAGCATCTCCAAAGTGTATATACTGCTAGCCCAGAAAGGGCAAAATTCAAAGTCTATTTGCTACTACATGCATAGCATTTTCAAATGCACTAAATTTTCAAAACTGGTAACTCAGCCAGGCATGCCACTACACACCTTTAGTTCCACTGCTCAGAAGGCAGAGGCTGGTGAATCTCAGTGAGTTTGAGGTTAGTCTAATCTACATAGCAAGCTCCAGGACAGCCAAGGTTACATAGTAAGACCATTTCAAAAGTTGGGAGAAAAAAAAAAAAAAAAAAAAAAAAAAAAAAAAAAAAAAAAAAAAGCCGGGTGTAATGGTACACACATTTAATCCCAGCACTCAGTAAGGAGAGGCAGGTGGATCTCTATGAGTTCTAAGCCAGCCTTAGAGCAAGGTCTAGGTCAGCCAGGGTAACACAGAGAAACCCTGTCTCGAAAAATAAAACAAAACAAAACAAAAAAATAATCAAACCTTAAATCAAGGACTAGCTATATAATTAACTATCAGAAGCATAAAGGAGGAAAAATGTACAAAACCCAAGCCAAAATTCAATACATATAGTATTGAATATATCAAAACCAAGATCAAGGACTGCCAGTGTGAATACCACCAGAAGGAGCCTCGGTCTCACTACTAACCCTGTAACAACTCACTACTTAGGCATCTTCTTTACTGAATAAACTAACTGTCAAGCAATTATCCAAGTTGCTAGAGGCTCTAAGTCCCAGGCCAGATCTAGGCAGACAACAGCCACACACTCACTAGCAGCCACATTCCTGGAAATAAAAAGCATGGCCCTGTGTAGCCAGGGCAATAAGTTAGCAGTCTTAATACTTCAGAGGACTTGTAGCTCAGGATGCCATGGAAACTAAGCAGCACCACCCTTTACCCATCCTCTTTCCCTCCTCTGTGAACCAGAATGAGGGGAATAAGCAAGGTGACAACAAATTCCATCAGAAGAGAATAGAAAAAGGACTAAATACACACCAAAATGTTTTTCTTGGGGGGGGTCTTTTTTTATGTTTTCCTCTTCAAGCTTCCCCAAACTTAAAAAATAACTTATTTTCTACATAACTTTTTTTCCCTTTTGGAGGCAGGGTTTCTCAATGTAATCCTGACACTCACTACATAGAGCAGGCTAGCCTTGAACTCAGATATCCTCCTGCCTCTGCTTCCCGAGGGTTCGATTTAAGATGTGCACCATCACACCCAGCACTGCCCTAAGTCTACTGGTTAAAGCTAGTGCCAAAGAGGTGTCCAACCAGAAATTCATAGACAGTTCCTCAATAAGTGGGCAAAGCCAAGACTATGTGCTCTCCAAAGTTCATGGCTAAGTGAAAAGCAATCTTTATGGTTTAAAAATGCTAAATAATAAAAAACATGAATAAATACTAGAGATACACTTTGTTAAAGTTCTCCTCAAACAACTGTTTGGATTGGTCCTTGTCCCTCCCTCTTCCAGTAAGACCTGCCTGCTCATGAACTAGCCTGGAATGTCACATGACACTCTAGTTGACAGACTAAACTTTGAGAAGCAGCAGCCTCTGTCTCCAACTACAGCCCACACTACGCACAGGCTCTGTCCTTCATAACCCTCCCCACACAAAGGCAGGTCCAGTCCCATGTAAGCAGCAGACTGAGGGTAGCGGGAGCTTGTCCAGGGACACAGATATCAGAATTGTCCCTGAAGACTGGGACAATACAGACTCTTTAAGTTCAACAGTACAAATATCTGGTTCAGATATACTTTTTATCTCTATTCAAAGCTGACTTAAGTTTGTTACTAAACCAAGTAAAGAAGAAAAACGGGGTGGGGGGGAGACATGACTTGAGAAATGGCTCTGTGGTTAAAAGCATTTGTTTCTCTTGCAAAGGATGTGAGTCCAATTTCCAGCACCCAACACAGTGACTCACAAAAACCACCCATAATTCCAGTGTCAGGGGATCTGAAGCCCTTCTGACTTTGGCAGAAACAGGTCATACACATGGTGCACAAACATACAAGCAGTCAAAACACACATACACACAGTTGAATAAATCTTACAACAGCAGCAGCAGCAGCAGCAGCTTAGACCTGTAATTCCATTACTCAAGACGCTGCATCTGTGAGTTGGAGACCTGCCTGAGCTATACAGTGAGTATGAGACAAGCCTGGGTTACACAGTAAGAGCAGTCTCAAAACAAAATAGAACGGAACAAAACAAAATAAGACAGGACATGCTCAGAACTTAACAGATTAAAGCAGGAGACTCACAAGAATGAGGAAGACCCAGCATGCTAAGTAAGTCCCAGGTGATCCTGGCCCTCAGATAAGACCTTGTCTGGGAGAGAAGTCCATGAGCCAGGCTGCACCTCTTACTTGAACTCGACAACAGACCCTGAAGTATTTAAAGCTTCAGGTCCTTTCCTCAATGGGTCTGGCCCCAGAAAGCCAAAGAGCCTTTGTTCTCACTGCAGACAGATCCTCCTTCCAACAGTCCCACCCATTTGGCAGCGCTCATGTTCCAAAACCTGAACATCAGGAACCACAGGACAGGGTAAGGAATTGCACCCATCACCTGGAACAGGTAGTATCTGGCGCTGGCCAGAGAAACGCTGTTTCATTTACTTCAGTTTTGGTAAAACTAAACTTGTTCATGGCTCCTGAGCAGAAGCTCTTTTTATAACCCTATCCTTTCTGCCTCAGACATAGAAAGTGCTAGCTCCCAACTCAGCCAGTAAGCTCACTGTGGCACAGTAATGCCCAACTCCACTGTAAAATCACAAACTACTAAGAATGAGGAACTTCTTCAAAGCAGACATTAAGAAAAACAACTAATGCTCACTGTGTTAAAGTCAGCCTCAGCCCTTTAGCAATGAAAATGTCCTCAAAGTCTTCTTCCACTTGTTTGCCAATTAAATGTTTTCACAAAGCAATCCCTGTCACCAACACCCATGTACGCTGCTTCAGAGCAGCTGTCTGCCTCACCTGACCGTCATTATCTTGGGGCTTTACACACCTGAGCAGACTAAAAGCTCACACCCTTCACAGAAAATTACTTCCTCCAGGCTCAAGGACAGGGTTCAAATGTGAAAAAGAACTTTTTTTTAAAATAATGGAACAAAAAAGGCAAGCCAAGGAGTAAGTCCAGAAGAAACAGGGATTGAGGACAAGGAAATCTGAGGGTGATTTGAAGCAGTTCCTAAGTAGCATAGAAGAGCACAGCAGGACCCACTCCTACCACCAGGAACAGACTGTGCAGATCAGGCAACATCTGCAGAACTGATGACTCCATCAGCAAAAGAAGTCAGGTGTGGTGGTGAGCACCCTTTATTCCGCACTTGAGAGCTAGAGGCAGAGGATCCCTCTGAGTTCAAGACTAGCAGGAAGACCACCCCCTCCCTGACAACAACAGCTCCCATTCTAACCTCACCTCAGAGGTCACCTAACAGAAAGAGGATGGTGGTTCGATTTTCCAGCCACAAGTTTCTCTTTCACTTTTTCACAAGGTCCCAAAATCTGGTGGAAAGGAGTTTAACTGCATTATAGATGGGAACAAAACCTAGAACGCTATGAAATCCAGAAGCCCAGGGTTAAGTGAATGTTAGTGTGGCTGTGGCTCCTATACCCATGTCTACCTTATACTCAAGACCAACTCCTCACAAAAAAAAACCTGCAAGTGATCCCAATCTAGAACTTCTCTTACATTTTTGCCCCACTGGAGAGTAGCAAATGAATGGAAACATGGCTTAGGAAACAGACTATCAGGAGGTACAGGAAACAAATGGCAGGACTTCCTGCAGGCCCTAATCTGTATCCTCCATTAAATCCTATAATCCAGCCTCATCTGAGTCGAAGCTCAGATGCACTTACCTCTGAGGGGGGATATACGGAGCACACACGGTTGGCAGAACCGCACAGGGCTCAGCCAGTGTTTTCTTAGCCTTTTTTGCTTTTTTCCTGACCTTGGACGTAGACCTGACCGTTTTGACCGAGCTTTCTTTTCGACAGACACCGTTTTTCATCTCAGCATCTCCATAAATGTTCAGAGGCCTCCGGGTACAGCCTGGAGGTGTGTGGACATCACAGAAAGCAGTCTTTCTGACAGAGAACGTGGTGCTGCCTCCAGTCAGCTCCTTCACAGGCTCCATCTTCATGTACAAGCCAGCCTTCTGGGCACATGTTACATGGAATGCTGTGTAGCAGTTTGCTTTGTGGCACTGAATGCAGGCACCCACACCTTTCTGCTTACAGAGGTAGCATGTCAGTTTCCACCGAGCAGGAGGTATGTTCCTCACACCATCGATGGGCTCAATGAATACCGTGTTGGCAAAGCCAACCTCTGGGATCCACAGGGCACATACCACGTGGCCCCAGCGGTCATCGTCTGTCTTTTTGAAGGCACCACCCTTATTCGGGCACAACACGCAATCCGCAGGGCGGGCCCGAGACTGCAGGCAGTGGCGGCAAAGCCACTGGCCCTCGGGGATATAGGGAACCCCATAGCACTCCTGGTGCACAGCTAGGTTACACATGTCACAAAAGAGTATCACATTGCTGTTCTGACACTCCCCATCCATGCAGATGCAGCAAACGGCATCCTCATCAATCAAGGACTGCTGCTCACCTTGCTTCTGGTTCTCACAGTATGACTCCTTCTCAAAGCGGTCCATCAGGAACTCAAACATATTCTGTGATACAGCAGACACACAGTCACCCTTGCGCTTCTCATTGATGATCTCTAACCAGGCATAATCTTCCTCATCCATGTCATACTCTACTTCATTGTCCAGCTCCTCAGCTGACTTCTCAATGAACTTGTAGTACACAGGGGGCCTCCTGGGTGCAGATGGAGGACTATACTCCACAATTCGCACCTTGGGCTCAGGAAGGGCACTGGCTGAAGCTGGTGTGCCATGGGTGCTGGGGATAGCTTCATTCTTCTTTTTGACTCTGTTGTTTTTGTGACGCTTAGTTCTTAAGCAAACAGGAGGCCTCTCACTGTTTTCTTTATTACTGTTGCATTCACTCATTTCTTGAGCAGTGAGGTCATCTTCTAGTATGATCTCCAAGGGATCAAAAATACTGATCCGATGCAAGCGCCCTTCAATTTCTATCTCCACCATCCTTTGAGCTTGTGCGTATGTTAATGTTTCTCGAGTGGGGGAGTGTTTAATACTGCACGGGGAAGAAGGATGCCTCGCTGCAGAGCCTCGATGACATCGTCCTTTCCTCCTCATTTGGCAATGATTACCTAAAACAAAGTCAAGGAAATAGTTAATTCCATGCAGGATTACAAAAGACTTCAGAAAACCACAAAATATGCTTGGTAGCACTAACAAATCAACTCTACACCCCACAAATGAAGCTCAGAGCTTAAATACTTCTGAGACTTCCAAACAACTTCTCCTAGGACATTTCAATAAGCCTTCAACAGTACCCCTCAGGACACTCAAGTAAAGGTACTGATAGGCAGAGGCAGCAGGAGGCAGCCGCCCTCAGGGTTCTTGCTGAATAGCTCAGGCAAAAGTGCAAACTACCCACAAGTCACCTTTTTAGATCAAACCAAAAGTCACCTACAAAACAGCAACACACCCTCCAGAGTTGAGATCCTGGCCCTTTGCTCTCAAGTATGGGATTGTTTTTCAGATAAGACTTCACAACACATAGATACTATGACTTATGGCCACAACAAAGGCATGCTCAGTGGCCACCTAGTCTTAACAACCTTTTAGAAAAGTCTCCTTTCTTTTTCCCACTACTGCCCAGCTGAGTGTTCCTGTGAACCTCACTGCTGGGGGCTAGAAGCTTCCATAACTCAGCAACATGGAGTAGTCCATTCTTTCCACATCCTACAAACACACACACAACCTCATCAGGACTTAGAAGGGAACCCTGAACAGATCTGTGGGATCTCTTTGCCCCAAGCAGTTTAATGTAGCTTCCACAGAGCCGAAGCAGAGACCACACTGGAAACTCCCATAGGCAGCAGCAGCAGCCTCTGTGTGCTGAGACACATACTCAAGTCAACCTAGCTGTGGGCAAGATGTCAAAGGGCATCTCTGCTCTCTTCCTGACACACTTGAAAATGCTCAGCTCTTGCTCCAAAGAAAGAATGGGTTCCTTCAAACTACAAAGAACCTGCAGAGTTCCCCCACCCCGAACAAGTCAGAGTCCCGATCACTGGTACACATGCCTGAAAACTTCAATGCAGATATTTGTTCATTTCCAGTGTGGACAAAATCAGTGCACTAACAGCCTACTCTCCTACCTCACTGTAGTGGACTTCTCTTACTTTTGGTTTTCTCTGAGGTGACTTACTGTCTGTGTGTCTTAAGGGCAGGCATGTCCATTCTGAACCACTAGTCAAGTGGACAAGCATATGGAGCAACAAGGGCAGAGACCACTCAAACTCCTCCCTCTGAACAAGCCCAAAGCCTACTTCACTGACAAGAAGCAAAGAAAGACTAAATTCCAAGCTAAATGTCAGAACAGCCCAGAATCAGTGCTCTTAAGGAAACATGGATTCACAACCTCATAGTTATTTTACCAGTCTTTGAGAAAAGCCCTCAAGCAGCAGGCTTCACATTTTAAGTCCCAAAAGGAAATCTCAGCAAATTGTATATGCAGTTTGTAAGACAGATCTTACAGGTTGCAGAAACTCACCTTTCTGTATGAAAATCAGATACCATCTCTCTATGAACAAGAGAACACTGTGGTCAGCCAGACCCCAATGCACCTACATCTGTGGGGCCTCCAGGTGCCTACTCAACCCTGGATTTTCAGGGAACTGTCAGCATAAGCCACCCTAGCCAACCCTAGCCTCCAGTAGCATCTCTTAGGAGAGATAGGTGCACACCCAAGAATCAGCAGCATCATATCCTGCACAGAAAGAACTACAGTGCACCCACTTCACAAATCACTACCAAGGCAGGATAGAAGCAACAGCTCCCAGATTAAAGACAAACGTGTAATTTTCTCCTCTACAGTAAAGCACTGTAACCAGCCCTTCAAATCCCACACTTTTCTAGTGAGCACTGAAGATCTTTAAACCACTTTTCTACAAAAACTGAACCTAATACTTAATGGCCACAGCCACTCTATAATTTGAAATGTAATTGTGACCCACGGAAAGAGGGTATTTAGCACAGTGACCAACAATCTCATCTGCTTCCTCGTTTTTCCTATACCCAGCACTTTGACCCTCCGGCTCTATGCAGAAACAAGCATTTCCATGGAGGGATCAGCAAAGGCAATAAGCATGCTTCCCCAGAAATAACTGTGCTAAACACATCCTAAAAAGCTTTGCTGGCAAAAAGAGGTAAACGCTCAAGATCAGTTCAGTTCATTTCCTGCCTGGTGTTTGTAGGCAAGCCATTTAAACTTCCAGCTTCTACCCCCCCACTATAAAAGCACACACAGGAAAGAGACACACCTCTAAGGCGGTGTGACCATGCAAGGAGTGAACACAGACTCAGGACAGTGCTAGACCCAGCAGGTGTTAAGACAGTAAATAAACACCCCAACTCTGTAACTATATGTTACCAGATGACAAACTCAGTCGCGGCTGGGTGAAGGGAAAATCCCCCATTAAGGGGCGGTTTCCTAGGTGTGTGTAAGTGTCACAACTGCAGTGTACGAAGAGGAGCTGTGTTTTTCTGCCAATTGTGCACAGGAAAGTTGCTTCTCTCCTAAAAGGCCTAAGAAAGCCGCGCACGCGCGTTCGTTTCTCAGCGTTTCCTGAACATATTCACGGAGTTTGGCGGAGCTGCAAGCTTGCTCCGGAGATACCAGGACGCGCTCGACTTAGGAAATCTTCCGAGCCCGTCCCTCTTCGAGGGAGTTTCCTGTCTTGGCAAAATAGATCGGACCTATCTGTTACATAATGCGACCCGCTCCGCGCCGCCAATGCTACGGGCGAGGACGTGGGCAGACGCCGCGAGACCCCAGGCCTTCCGCCTCCTTCGCTGTCTGACGCCCGGCTTCG